TGGAGTAAAAAAGTTACAATGGGGATTTTTCTGTTCTGAATCTGTGAGCCCCACTGGCTTAATGCTTCCTTTGTTGTTGCTGGGTTTTATTTGTTTGTTTGTTTGTTAACCGGAGTTGATGCGTTAAAGATCACCAAGAAGGGGTCACCAAGAATAGTGGGGTGAGAGGAAGGGTGCCTGTCTGCAGGGAACTCCCCCAACTGGCCCTGCTATCAACCCCAACCTCAGAGGGGTGGGTGCCTGGTCTGGGATTGCCCATGGGGGAGGTGGACTCCTTAGCCCAGGTAGTGGGGCTGGCTGGCTGCCTGGGACCAGAGATGAGGCTCAGGGAACAGCGGGAGCACGATTCCCGCCCTACTCCCAGGTCACAGAGTGGGTGTGCTGGCGGCTTCCACGCCACCTCAGGATGAATGCTGACAAGGAGAGTGAGGACCAAAGATCGGCCCAGAGACCGTTGTCGAGGGGACCGATGTGGCCACTATTGAGCATTAACTTGGTCCTGGAATCAGTAGCTAACTTGCCTATGGTACAGGCTTTACAGATGTGACCTCCCTGTTTACAGATGTGGGAACTGGGCTTGAAAACAGCAAGTAGTGCATGGCCACATACTAGTAAGTGGTAGTTGAGTTTCAAACCCAGGTTTGTTTGGTTCCTATAGAAAGAGTTAGGCATAGGATGCAAGGGGTAGCCTTTTAAGAATGGGGGTTGTGTGGGGGGCTAGAATCATGCTCCCTGAAAGAGGGTGGAGATGATAGAGCCTGAATCTGGAGCAGGAGCCATACCCACACAATATCAGAGGGAGGCCCCCAGCTTGCTTTGGCTGCAGCAAGGCAGGGCACTTACAGCTCCTCGAGCAGCCCTGCCTGCCCTGACTGTTCTCACCCTCCCCACTCCCCCGGAGGTTTGGAAGATGATAGAGGACATTACTGAAGGGGAGATGAGGAGATCGGCGGGGGAATGGGGCAGGCGGTGGGTGAACATGGAGATTGGGGAGGTACACTCTACAACGGTAGAGGCGGAAGGAGAGACAGGGCCCAGGCATGCTATTGTTGGTCCACCTGTTAAAACAGACAAGCTATGAGTTCAAGCAACCCTGAGGCTTCTGAAGAAGCTGGAAAAATAGATATATTCACATCCCTGTAGAAACTGGAGTCATTAGACTGGACTCATTCTTTTTTCTCTATCTCTCCTAAGTGGGCCAGGACTAAAGCCTGGTAGTCTTTGGACAGCTCTGGGAGAAGTTGTAGGGAGAGGGGACCTTCCGAGTGTGAGGTCACAGAGGCAAAAGCTTTCTAGATCCCTCATTAATAAACGCCTAGTGCTCAGGGATTTGGGAAAGAGGAAGTTCAACCTAGAGGCTGCCAATTTCTTTCCAGGGCTGGGAGTGCAGAGGTTCCTAGGCACTGCCCGGCTGGGAAGTCCACGGCCAGTGAGTAGGGAGGAGAGAGCTGGAGAGGAGGGCTCCGCCTTCCACCGCCACTTCTGCAGGTGAACGGGGTGGGTATGGATGAACGGGACTGAAGGAGGTGGGCATGGTCTGACCACAAACCAAAACCACCGGAAGGGGCAGAAACATGCTCTGGCCACAGGAATTTTGCCTCAAGATGCTCTGAGTCTTTTCTACTGACCTCTATCAATGAATTTTATTTTTGGCAGCTGGGGGATGGATTTGGACTTAATAGATGTGTGTGTGTGCGTGCATGCATGCATGTATGCGTGTGTGTGTGTGTGTGTGTGTGTGTAATTGTTTGGGAGGGACTCTAAAATTTCCAACCTGCTGCCCCCAAACCAGTGTGCTGGTAGAGCAGTTCTGCAATACTTTGGAAGATGCTAAAACCCAATATGAGCCTTTCCCCTAACGAGAATGACCAAGTCTTTGCATACAAGGCGATTTCCCAGTTTGTCTCCATCCTCCACTCTGCGAACATGTCACAGGACACCTGGACAAGCCCCGGCAGGTCCTGTCCTCGGGTAGCCTACAGGGAGGAC